TCCCCAATTTTCACTGCTGGAAGCAATTCTTATTCCCATATCCCGAGGCCTGAGAGAGCTTTGCTCCTGTGCAACTGAGGCAGATCTCTGATAATGAGGGTGCATTTTATGATATTAAACAACAACACGATTACATTTGTATAGCGCCTTTCTCATGGGGAGGACATCCCAAAGTCCATTAATTCCTACCACTTAGACGTCTTTGGCAGTGCCCATTTCATCCATCTAATGGCTATTAAGACATGCGTTTTGAGTGGAGCATTTTGAGTGAGTTTTACATTCAAATTAATGCAAGCCTGCATACGTGGCACATTGATACACCGCCCATAAAATACACAGTCAATCCACAGTGCTTTCAGACGTCTCAACGACAGGAACTTTAGTTCTCCCCTTTCAAGGAAATTTAAAGGAAAGTTATCTTGGTTTTCTCTTCGCCTTCAAGAAATTATTTTCTTGGTGTCAGCGGCGAAACCCATCACCATGTTTAAGCGTTTCCAAACCAAACTGAGATTTCCATACATCCCACCTACACATGGAAATTAAAGAGATAGATTGTTGGAATGGAATGCGCACTCTCTCTCTCTCTCTCTCTCCCTGGAGGGATACATCCTGTCTACCTAATTCTGGGATATATGAGGTGTAGGTTGGCAAGAGCCAAGGCTTGGAGTCCCCAGAGTGTGCGTTGGAATTATACAGGATTTATAGATAAACTCTAAACTGTGACACATTCATGTAATACCCCCAATGCGATTGAAGGTTTTGGTGAGCAAAAACAAAATCCAATGGAAACTCTTCATCAGTGCAGTTCAGGAAAAAAATGCAAAACATTTAGACTAAAAGCCAATTATTTTGAGATGTTACCATGAATGATGGACTTGGAGTGGGTTTGCCACCCTGACCAGCGCAGATGTTCTCTCATTGAAAGGCAAACACGGTTTAGGTTATTGCTTGATTTAAGTGTACACCCTCGGTGAAATGCATGAGAGCATCATCACCATCTTCCTGTCCGTAGCTTGGGCATAGACGCCTAATAATAATCCCTCCAAAACCAAAAACAATAATAAATTGGTCATTTTCAATCTACGACTGTTTGTGGGACATTGCTGTGCGCAATTGGCTGCCGCGTTCGCCCACAAATATGCAGTCAATTCACTTTACAGTGTGTTCTGTGAAGCGCTTTGGGACGTCCTCCCGACGTGAAAAGCGCTATATCAAATGCAAGGATTATTCTTATTCTTATTATTATTATTATCTCTTCCCATTGAGCAATGGTTTCACCAGTCGAAGGTGCGGAGTTTAAGCAGCCTCTCTGCAGGACAATCAAGGTGGATTCCAGGCACTGCACGTCCGAGCGTGTGATCACAAACTCAGACTCTGGGTAACACTTGCCCGCAGCTGTCACCCCAAGCCTCAAAGTTTCCTCAAAGTTGAATAATCTGCCAATACTCCCTTCGCATGTGAAGACCAAGGCAATGGAGGACTTCTGTCACCTTTGTAACTATGTCCACCACCAAGAGCCAACGCCTTTTGACGGCAAGTGGGTGAAGAGGAGTAGAAGGAGTTAAGGGAGAGAGGAGTCCTGTACGAGGAAATTAATCTTACAAAAACTATAATTTTTACAGGTTGTACATCTTTAGTTATTTGCTAAATTATTTTGCCCACAAAATATACGGTCGATTCATCCACTTTCCGGCATATTCCGTGAAGCGCTTTGAGACTTCTCAACAACGTGACAAGGTGCTGAGTCAAATGCCTGAGTGTTAATATAATTTGAAAAAAAATATACCATAACTGAGTTACAAATGCTCACCTCGTTGGTTAGTGTGGTCTTAGAAACCATCTTGAGTAAGCCAATACAGTACCAAAGAAAAATCATTCATCGTGAATCCCACAGATCCAACACGTTTTGGGTTCTCTTCATAAATAAAAGTGTTTTAAGTTGGTACAGTACAGTATTTGGAGTCCCGTAGCTCAGTGGTTAGAGCACTCGCTTTGCAAGCGAGAGACCTGAGTTCAATTCCAGGCAGAGGGCGAAACCTTGGGCAAGTTTCCTTACTCCACACAGAGCCTAATAATAATCCCTCCAAACCCCAAAACAATAATAAATTGGTCATTTTCAATCTACGACTGTTTGTGGGACATTGCTGTGCGCAATTGGCTGCCGCGTTCGCCCACAAATATACAGTCAATTCACTTTACAGTGTGTTCCGCGAAGCGCTTTGGGACGTCCTCCCGACGTGAAAAGCGCTGTATCAAATGCAAGGATTATTATTATTATTATTATTATTATTTGCCTTTCCCTTCGTCTCAGCAGCAAATGTCACCCAACAACAGTTCAGGATCAATCGATATCTCTTGTGGGCGAATGCTGCAAGTGCACAAGTCCTGCTTCACAGGGAATCAGTGCTGGTTTGCACTCTGCATCAGTGTGGACCTGCTCTGACTTGCGAAGATACTGGTGATGTTTATCCTTCTTCTGCCTTGTTGGGAGGTGCTTTGGGTGCGACTGAGCTGACAGAATCCGGATACAGTCGGAATCTAAGTGGATCTGGTGAGAGGAGACTGATGCATTTTGTCTATTTCAGCATCCCAGGTCCACATCTCACACACACACACACACACACACACAAGTCTGATTATTTTTCTCATGTGGGCTTGCAAAAAAATATAGGCGAATCGTGACCAGTTGGACGAAAGAGACCACTGGATGACAGTGCACCCTTCATATCAAAAGGTGGCATCGCCTTTTTTATTCTTGGTTTAGTGTGGGAAATGCATTTCAGGGAATTGCAGTCACAGGAGAGGAGAGGAGAGGGGAGGAGAGGGTTTTGGAGGGTAGTGGTGGGGGTGGGTTGGATGGGTCGACCCTTGGATGCAGAGTGTGTGTAACCTGTAGGTGGCGATGCAAGGCAAGGATTCAATCAAACCAATGAGTTTGGTTTGAAAGCTCTCCCAATTCCTCTCCTTTCCCTCCCAACCTCTTCCCCATCCCCATCCCCATCCCCACACACCACAAATTGCTAGGATGCCATGACCCCCAGTTCCCTACCAATCTGCTGCCCCTCCTCAACCCCTTTTCAACCCAACACAAAACTCCACCAAATCAGTTGGTGTGAGTTCGAGAGAAGAAAATTAAGGACATTTCGGTGGGTGGATGTGTGTCTGTGTGTGTGTGTGTGTGTGTGTGTGAAAACACATGTTAATCGTTGTTGCAGATGTTTTGTGGGGAAACAGCCTCTGACTCTATCTATATTTGTGTCAAGAGTTACCACTGCTGTGCACATTGCAGAGAATTGGGAAAATTCTGCGGAATCTGTACTTGTATTCGCCTGTAACGTACACAGTCACTACACTGGCTCGGCAGCACACTCTGCAAAGTGTTTTGTTTTTTGAGACGTTTAATAATCTTGCGATGGTTGGTGTCGAAAAGGAGCTGTCAAAAGAGAAAAAGAGAGAGAGAGAGAGAGAGAGGAAAAGAGAGGAGACCTGTCTGAGTGATTAGTGCGGTTGTAAAGTATTTCAGTGGTGAGCAGTGAGTGCAATGCAACTTCGTTCACAATTCGGACCAACAGTCATTAATAATTTAAAGAAGGCGACATTGCATCTGTCTACTAACTAACTAACGGCAGAACCATCTCAGTTATGTGTGTGTGTGTGTGTGTTATTTTGCTCCTGTGTGTGTGTGTGTATTTTTCTCCCCCCTGTGTGTGTGTGTGTATGTGTGTTATGTGTTATTTTACTCCCTCTGTGTGTGTGTATGTTATTTTTCTCCCTCTGTGTGTGTGTGTGTCACAGAGCCTCACTGGAAACTCCACAATTAAATAAGTATAACTAATACAGGAGCTTCACGTCACTGCAGTGTAATGAGTAGGATTGAACAGTGTGTGTGTGTGTGTGTGTGTAAAAACATTAACAGATAACTAGTACCAACCTACCCTCTTACAATTGGGTAAAGCTTCGATTTGCAAACAGGAGCCTCACACACACACACACACACACACACAGTCACACACACACTTGCCTCTTGCAACCCAAAGTTGTCTGCATTTTTGGGGAGGGGGCATCTCAAGTGTGTGCATATTTGCAGGAAAGGCTGTGTGGTGTGGTGTGGGTTTGACTTTCTCTCTCTCTCTCTCTCTGCTTATCTTACTTGGCTTTGGTGGTAGATATGTAGTCGCTTCTTACGAGAGCCAGGAGAGGACAGAGGTAATAGTGATTTGGGGGGTGATGTGTGGGGGTGGGGGGTGGTGGGGTGGGGTGGGTGTGGGGGGAATAATCAGTGAGCATAAAGACTGTGTGTATGTGTGTGTTTTGGTCTGTCTCTCTGATTGCCTGCTTTGCTGTACCAGGAAAAGAGAGAGAGAGAGAGAGGACAGAGATACAGTATAGGGGAGGGTAACCCCACCAACCCCCCCCCCCCCACCAAAAAAAAAACCCTTCCCCTCCCCTTGTGAGCTGATGACAACCTTGGGACTCTTGACTGAATCTCCCTTCTCTCTCCCCCCCATCCCCAATCCCCAATCCCATTCCTCCCCCACAAAACAACCTCCTCCTCCAAAAAAAGAGAGAAGCAAATAAGGAGTTAGGAGGTGGAAACGTTTCTCTGTGGTGTTGGGGATCGACTCATTGAGAGAGGGAGGGAGGGAGGGAGGGAGAGAGTGAGTGAGAGAGAGAGAGAGAGAGAGAGCAAATGCTTCTATATCTAGTGTAAGCCTTGCTTTCTGGGTGGGAGTGTTGCTTTGAGCAGATGTAGATCAAATAGGCTGTCTTCTCTCTCCTCTCTATCTGGATATCTCTCTCTATCTCTCTATCCATCTCTCCATCTCACCATCTCACCATCTCTATCTCTCTCTCTCTCCTCCTGCAATCGTCTAGGATTTGACCACGATATCTAAGAAAAAAGCCTTTCCCCAAGCGTTTGGTGGGGGATTTGGTGTATATGTGTGAGTGTGTGTGTGTGTGTGAGAGAGAGTGAGTGAGTGAGTGAGAGAGTGTGTGTGTGTGTTAATGCGGCGTTGGATTGGACCCTTTATTTTTTGGGGGGTGACAAGACTGACAGCAATTGCAAACAGGTAAGAGATCACAACTTGTACAAATGCAACGGTTATACATACACATATATATATATGTTACACAGACAGACAGACAGACAGACATACACACTCATCTTTTGAGCTTTCAACCTGCTTTGGGAGTGATCAGATTGTAAGGATAACATGTCTTCTCCTTTCCTCTCCCCCTTTCCCTCCCCTCAAATCTTGATTTTCTTTTTAATTTAAAAAATATATCTATCCATCCGTCCGTCTGTCTGTCTGTCTGTCTATCTATAAGCTATAACGTTGCCTCCACCTTTGCACAGCAAAGGTATTCTCTCTCTCTCTCTCTCTGGTTATATCTTTGCTTCCTCTGCTGCTGATGACACTGTTTGGTTCTGCGGATGGGGCTGTACATTAATGCACACAGTAATTTTGCTAAATGTTTGCGGGGCTACAACACACACACACATACATATACATACATCACCATGCACACACACACACATACACATACATCACCATGCACACACACACACATACACATACATCACCATGCACACACACACACACGCACACCGACTCCAGGCTTGAACTGACTGCAGTAAGTGTGCGATGCTCAGGGTCTGATTTGCAAACATCTCGCTCCAGGTGTCAATCTGGAATGTGTGTGTGTGTGTGTCTGTGTCTCTGTGTGTGTGTGTCTCACTCTCTCTCTCTCTCTCTCTGTATGTCTCTCTCTTTCTCTCTCTGTGTGTGTGTCTCTGTGTGTGTGTGTCTGTGTGTGTCTCTGTGTGTGTGTGTCTCTGTGTGTGTGTGTCGCTGTGTGTGTGTCGCTGTGTGCATCGCTGTGTGTGTGTGTCTCTGTGTATGTGTCTTTCTGTGTGTGTGTGTCTCTGTGTGTGTGTCTCTGTGTATGTCTCTCTTTCTGTGTGTGTGTGTGTGTGTGTGTCTCACGCTCTCTCTCTGTATGTCTCTTTCTGTGTGTGTGTCTCTCTCTCTCCCTCTGTGTGTGTGTGTGTGTGTGTGTGTCACTCTCTGTCTCTCTCTCTGTCTCTCTCTGTGTTCTGTGTATGTGTCTGTCTGTGTCTCCCACTTTCTCTCTATATGTGTGTGTGTCTCTGTGTCTCTCTCTGTGTATGTGTGTGTCTCTCTCGCTCTCTCTCTGTTCTCTGTGTGTGTCTCTGTGTGTGTGTGTGTGTCTGTGTGAGTGTGTGCGTGTCTCTGTGTGAGTGTGTGCGTGTCTCTCTCTCTCTCTCTCTGTGTGTGTCTCTCTGTGTGTGTGTGTGTCTCTGTGTGTGTGTGTGTGTCTGTGTGAGTGTGTGCGTGTCTCTGTGTGTGTGTGTGTGTGTGTTCTCTCTCTGTGTTCTATGTGTCTGTGTGTGTGTCTCTGTGTGTGTGTCTGTGTGTGTGTTCTCTGTGTGTGTGTGTGTCTCTGTGTGTCTCTGTGTGTATGTGTGTCTGTGTGTGTGTCTCTGTGTGTGTGTCTCTGTGTGTGTGTGTCTGTGTGTGTCTCTGTGTGTGTCTCTGTGTGTGTGTGTGTGTCTCTGTGTGTGTGTGTGTGTCTGTGTGAGTGTGTGTGTGTCTCTGTGTGTGTGTGTGTGTCTGTGTGAGTGTGTGCGTGTCTCTCTGTGTGTGTGTGTGTGTGTTCTCTCTCTGTGTTCTATGTGTCTGTGTGTGTGTCTCTGTGTGTGTGTCTGTGTGTGTGTTCTCTGTGTGTGTGTGTGTCTCTGTGTGTATGTGTGTCTGTGTGTGTGTGTCTCTGTGTGTGTGTCCTGTGTGTGTGTGTGTCTGTGTGTGTCTCTGTGTGTGTCTCTGTGTGTGTGTGTGTGTCTCTCTCTCTGTGTCTCTCTCTCTCACTCTGTGTGTGTGTGTGTGTGTGTGTCTCTGTGTGTGTGTGTGTGTGTCTCTCTCTCTCTGTGTCTCTCTCTCTCACTCTGTGTGTGTGTCTCTCTGTGTGTGTGTGTCTCTGTGTGTGTGTGTGTCTCTGTGTGTGTGTGTGTCTGTGTGTGTGTGTCTCTGTGTGTGTGTCTCTCTGTGTCTCTCTCTCTCTCTCCCTCTCTCACTCTGTGTGAGTGTCTCTGTGTTCTCTCTCTCTCCCTCTCTCACTCTGTGTGTGTGTGTCTGTGTGTGTGTCTCTCTCTCTCTCTCTCTCCCTCTCTCACTCTGTGTGTGAGTGTCTCTGTGTTCTCTCTCTCTCTCTCTCTCTCTCACTCTGTGTGAGTGTCTCTGTGTTCTCTCTCTCTCTCTCACTCTGTGTGTGAGTGTCTCTCTCTCTCTCTCTCTCTGTGTAATTCTGGATCGCTTTCTTACCGCAAACACACACTGTCGGGTTCCCTTATTCCAGCCCCAGTTTCCTGTTTATCTCCTGCGGATGGTCTTAGTCGTTATTACTGTAACATCTTTTATTTTTTATATATAAAAACACAGGGGTGGAATGTAATTTTCTCTCTCTGTGTCTCTCTTTCTCTCTGTCTCTGTCTCTGAGTCTATGTGTGTCTCCTCATAACATCTTTTTATTAAAAAAGGGGTGTTATTTGCTCTGCCTCTATCTCTCTATCTGCCTCTATCTCTCTATCTGCCTCTCTATCTCTCTATCTGCCTCTATCTCTCTATCTGCCTCTCTATCTCTCTATCTGCCTCTATCTCTCTATCTGCCTCTCTATCTCTATCTTATCTCTCTATCTGCCTCTATCTCTCTATCCCTCTATCTCTCTATCCCTCTATCTCTCTATCCCTCTATCTCTCTATCCCTCTATCTCTCTATCCCTCTATCTCTCTATCCCTCTATCTCTCTATCTCCCTCTATCTCTCTATCCCTCTATCTCTCTATTCTCTCTATCTGCCTCTCTATCTCTCTATCTGCCTCTATCTCTCTATCTGCCTCTATCTCTCTATCTGCCTCTCTATCTCTATCTGCCTCTCTATCTCTATCTGCCTCTCTATCTGCCTCTATTTCTCTATCTGCCTCTCTCTCTCTATCTGCCTCTCTATCTCTCTATCTGCCTCTCTATCTCTATCTGCCTCTATCTCTTTATCTGCCTCTCTCTCTCTTCTGCCTCTCTATATCTCCATCTGCCTCTCTATCTCTATCTGCCTCTCTATCTCTATCTGCCTCTATCTCTTTATCTGCCTCTCTATATCTCTATCTGCCTCTATCTCTCTATCTGCCTCTCTATCTCTCTATCTGCCTCTATCTCTCTATCTGCCTCTCTATCTCTCTATCTGCCTCCATCTCTCTATCTGCCTCTATCTCTCTATCTGCCTCTCTATATCTCTATCTGCCTCTCTATATCTCTATCTGCCTCTCTATATCTCTATCTGCCTCTCTATCTCTATCTGCCTCTATCTCTCTATCTGCCTCTCTATCTCTATCTGCCTCTCTATCTCTATCTGCCTCTCTATCTCTCTATCTGCCTCTATCTCTCTATCTGCTTCTCTATCTCTCCATCTGCCTTTCTATCTCTCTATCTGCCTCTCTATCTCTATCTGCCTCTCTATCTCTATCTGCCTCTCTATCTCTCCATCTGCCTTTCTATCTCTCTATCTACCTCTCTATCTCTCTATCTGCCTCTCTATCTCTCTATCTGCCTCTATTTCTCTATCTGCCTCTATCTCTCTATCTGCCTCTATCTCTTTATCTGCCTCTCTATATCTCTATCTGCCTCTCTATATCTCTATCTGCCTCTCTATCTCTATCTCTATCTCTATCTGCCTCTCTATCTCTCTATCTGCCTCTATCTCTCTATCTGCCTCTATCTCTCTATCTGCCTCTATCTCTCTATCTGCCTCTCTATCTCTCTATCTGCCTCTATCTCTATCTGCCTCTCTATCTCTATCTGCCTCTCTATCTCTCTATCTGCCTCTCTATCTCTATCTGCCTCTCTATCTCTCTATCTGCCTCTCTCTCTCTCTGTGCCTCTCTATCCCTCTATCTGCCTCTCTCTCTCTGTGTGCCTCTCTATCCCTCTATCTGCCTCTCTCTCTGCATCTCTCTCTGTCTCTCAATCTCGGAGTCTCCATATAACATCTTTTCATTTAAAAACAATAGGGCGTTATGTTATATTTGCCCTGAAATGTACTTGAGTGTGAATTGCATATGTGTGCACTTGTACTCCTCTCTGTGTGTCGCTCTGTGTGTGTCCATGTGTGTGTGTGTTTCTTTCTGTGTGTCTGTGTTTCTCTCTCTGTGTGTGTCTGTGTTTCTGTGTGTGTGTGTGTTTCTGTGTGTGTGTCTGTGTTTCTGTGTGTGTGTCTGTGTTTCTGTGTGTGTGTGTGTTTCTGTGTGTGTGGGTGTATTTCTCTGTGTGTGTCTGTGTTTCGGTATATCTGTGTGTTTCTGTGTGTGTGTGTCTCTATATGTCACTGTGCATGTGTGTGTGTCTCTGTATGTCACTGTGCATGTGTGTGTGTGTCTCTCTGTATGTCACTGTGCATATGTGTGTGTCTCTCTGTATGTCACTGTGCATGTGTGTGTGTGTCTCTCTGTATGTCACTGTGCATGTGTGTGTCTCTCTGTATGTTACTGTGCATGTGTGTGTGTGTGTTTCTGTATATCACTGTGCATGTGTGTGTGTCTCTGTATGTCACTGTGCATGTGTGTGTGTGTGTGTCTCTGTATGTCACTGTGCATGTGTGTGTGTGTCTCTGTATGTCACTGTGCATGTGTGTGTGTGTGTGTTTCTGTATATCACTGTGCATGTGTGTGTCTCTGTATGTCACTGTGCATGTGTGTGTGTCTCTGTATGTCACTGTGCATGTGTGTGTGTCTCTCTCTGTATGTCACTGTGCATGTGTGTGTGCGTGTGTTTCTGTATATCACTGTGCATGTGTGTGTGTCTCTGTATATCACTGTGCATGTGTGTGTGTGTCTCTGTATGTCACTGTGCATGTGTGTGTGTCTCTCTGTATGTCACTATGCATGTGTGTGTGTCTCTGTATGTCACTGTGCATGTGTGTGTGTGTGTGTGTGTGTCTCTCTCTATATATATACCTGTATATGTTCTCTTGAGAGATCTGGCTTCCTGCCTCAGTGATGG